CCCAATACTTTAAGCTGGTGCTTCTCAAATTTTTTGAGACAGAGTCTCACTCTGTTGTCCTAGGTAGAATACTGTGGCATCACAGCTCACAGCAATCTCAAACTCTTGGGCTCAAGCAATCCTCCTGCCTCAGCCTCTCAAGTACCTAGGGCTACAGGCACCTGTCATGATGTCTGGCTAGTTTTTCTATTTTTAGTAGAGACAGGGTCTCACTTTTTATTTATTATTATTTTTTTTTTGATAGAGTCTCATTCTGTTACCCTTGGTAGAGTGCTGTGACATCGTAGCTCAGAGCAACCTCAAACTCTTGGGTTCAAGAGATCCTCTTGCCTCAGTTTTTCTATTTTTAGGAGAAACAGGGTCTCAATCTTGCTCAGGCTGGTCTTGAATGCTTAAGCTCAAGCAATCCACCCACCTGGACCTCCCAGAGTGCTAGGATTACTGGTGTAAGCCACCACCACCTAGCCTCATATATGTTCTTTTTAAACGTTTAAAAATTCTTAGTTGTATTTAACTTTATAACATCACTAGTCATGAGAGAAATGCAAAGTAAAACCACAATGAGATACTAAGCACACCCACTAAAGTTCAAAATTGATAATGCGAAGGGTTAACAAGGATGTGATCCGACTGGAAATCTCAAATACTTTGTTGATGGAAATGCAAAATGGTAGAGCCACTTTGGCAAAGAGTATGGCAGTACCTTATAAAGTTAAACATACATTTACCATATAACCTAGCAAGGTCCTCCCCCCCAAGTATTTACTGAAAAGAAAACATGTATACACAAACCATGTACACAAATTTTATTTTATTTTTTATTGAGACAGAGTCTCATTTTCTCACCCTTGGTAGAGTGCCATGGCACCATCAAAGCTCAGAGCAACCCCAAACTCTTGGGCTCAAGAGATTCCTTGCCTCAGCCTCCCTAGTAGCTGGAACTACAGGCACTTGCCACAATGCCTGGCTATTTTTCTTTTTTGTTTGTTTGTTTAGCAGGCCTGGGCCAGGTTCAAACCCCCAGAGCATGTGGCTAGTGCCCTAACCACTGAGCTATGGGCACCCAGCCCATGAACACAAATATTCTTAGCAGCATTATTGATAATAGCCCCAAATTGGAAGTAACTCAAATGTACATCAACTGGTAATGGATAAACAAAGTATAGTATATACCATGGAATATAATTCAGCAATAAAAAAGAACAAAACATGAATACAACAGAATGGTTAGGTGGCTCATGCCTATAATCCTAGCACTCTGGGAGGCTGAGGCAGGTGGATTGTCTGAGCTCACAGGTTCAAGACCAGCCTGAACAAGAGTGAGACCTGGTCTCTAAAAATAGCCAGGCATTGTGGTGGGTGCTTGTAGTCCCAGCTACTCAGGAGGCTGAGGCAACAGAATTGCTTGAGCCCAGAAGTTTGAGATTGCTGTGGGCTATGATGCCACGACACTCTACCAAAGGTGACAAAGTGATACTCTGTCTCAAAAAATTAAATAAAATAAACAATAATGATAAATATTATACTAAGTGAAAGAAGTCCAACACAAGACTACACACTGTATGATTCCATTTATTTATTTATTTATTTTTAGAGACAGTCTCACTTTATTGCTCTCAGTAGAGTGCCATGGCATCACATAGCTCACAGCAACCTCCAATTCCTGGGCTTAGGCGATTCCCTTGCCTCAGCCTCCCAAGTAGCTGGGACTACAGGCGTCGGCCATAATGCCCGGCTATTTTTTTGTTGTTGTTGTTGCAGTTTGGCTGGGGCGGGGTTTGAACCTGCCACCCTTGGTATATGGGGCCGGTGCCCTGCCCACTGAGCCACAGGCACCGCTCATGATTCTATTTATATGTGCAAAATTTCCCAAGATCAGGTGTTTGAAAGGATTGGTCAGACTTCACAACGCATAATATTCTAAGAGTTTTTTTGTTTTTGAGACAGAGCCTCAAGCAGTCTCCCTAGGTAGAGTGCTGTCGCATCACAGCTCACAGTAACTTCCAACTCCTGGGCTCAAGGGATTCTCCTGCCTCTGCTTCCTAAGTAGCTGGGACTACAGGTGCCTGCCACAATGCCCAGCTATTTTTTGGTTGCAGCTGTCATTGTTGTTGGTGGCCTGGGCTGGATTCAAACCTGCCAGCTCAGGTCTATGTGGCTGGCACCTTAGCCACTTGAGCCATAGGCGCCGAGCCAATCATCTAAGAGTTTAATTAAAGGCAAAGGACTCTGGGGCTCAGCGCCCGTAGCTCAGTGGTTAGGGTGCTGGCCACATGCGCAGGGCCTGTGATGGGTTCAAGCCCTGCCCAAGCCTGCTAAACAATGACAACTATAACAAAAAATAGCCGGGTGTTGTGGTGGACACCTGTAGTCTCAGCTATTTGGCTGAGAATCGCTTGAGCCCAAGAGTTTGAGGTTGCTGTGAGCTGTGACACCACAGTACTCTACCCAGAGCAACAACTTGAGACGCTATCTCAAAAATAAATAAATAAATAAATAAAAATAAAGGCAAAGGGCCCTGGGCAGCAAGAGAAAGACTAAATAATAGGAATCAGAGAAACATTCCAAGGACAAGCTCCCCACCATCCTTTTTCACAGGTGGACTGCACTGTAAGGTGTTTTTGGATTGAATCACTGGGTCCTGAGTGAAGAATCCTGGCTGGCTCTGGAAAAGCTCAAATAGTTAAGTTCCCAGTAGGGTTTTTATACTACTATACTTATGTAATCAAGCCAGACACACTGGTTAGACCAGTTAAAAATTCTCAGTAAAGAGAGTGACCCTGGGGGCCACCAAAGGAACTTTAGACTTTAAACAGCACATTACAAATCCCAATGCCCTTATCTTAACCAAGAGTGAAAAATTAGACATTCAGGTGTCTTCACAGACAGTTTTTGCAATCCAGCTGTTAATCAACTCTATCTTCCACAATATGAAAGCCTAAAATAGGCAAACCATATAGTGACAGAAGGCAGATCAGTGTGAGTAGGGACAGGAAAAAGAGTCAGTAAAAAGGAAGCCAAGGAAACTTTTCAGAAACAGATTTAGTTTTTATACTTTTATTTTCTTTTTTGGACAGGAAGTAGGATTTATTGGTTGGTACAAATAAGAGGGCAGCACAGTGGAAGCCCTCTTGAGTGTAGGGCCCTCGTCTTGTCCAGGGAGCCACAATTGGAGATGTATTTGACCCCACAGCCATCCTGTATGACCCACCTCTCAGCCATCATGTCTTCAAATTCATCTGCATTAAACTTGGTAAATCCCCATTTCGTTGAGATGTGAATCTTCTGGCGGTGAGGGAACTTCAACTTGGCCCTGCATAGACCCTCATTTATATGCTCTTTTTTCTGCAGTTTGGTATGGGTGGACATGATAACTCAGCCAATGTGAACCCTGGCCACAGTTCCCTAGGGCTTTCCAAAGGTACCACGCATACCTGTCTGGAGCCTAGACTGGGGACAGCACAAGGTCTGACATATGAACATACATCAGAAAGGACTGTCTCCAGGGTCCCTTAAAACAACCCATACAAGCAACAGGCTGCATATACTACCAAGGAGGCTGCTGTTTGGAGCCATTGCACACCAAGTAGTTTCTACATCGTGATGGTGATGAAGGCTATTATACTATATACAATTATGAAAATTCATTAAATAGTACATTTAAAATTAATTATACTATAGGTAAATAATAACTTACTAAAAAAGAAAACTCTAAGAAGACATCGTGCTATAGTTACTCTTTGGGAGTTAAACTTTTTTCACTCAATATTTTATTACTAAGATTCATCCATTAGGTATCTGTCATTCTAATAATTTTATGTAGTATGTGCACATATTTCATGTGTGAATATTCCAGTTTATTCATCCATTCTCTTGCTTGTGAATAATTTGGTTGTTTCTAGGCTTTTTCCTTTGTGAACAGGGCTGCTATGAACATTCTTGTACATGTCTCTTGGTATACATGTGTAAGTTTCTCTAAGATTTATCCCCTACATTAGAATAACTGGGTTATAGGGTAGGCAAACATTCAGACACAGGAGATAAATTATTTTCCAAAGTAGTTCTCTGCTTCTCTTACCTGGGTCTGTCTGTCTCCAGTTAGACTATGACTCCAGGGCCACTGCTTAGCATTCAATTAATACCAGGCTGGATATCCAGAAGTACAAGGGAAGAAGCCTAGGCATCTGAGGCCTTGCAGCCTCAGCAAATACTAGCTACTGTGCAGAACAAACAGCATGCAGGGACTATGTCACTCATGGAGGCTGGTTAGGGTCCTACTCAGAGCACCAGCTAAGCTCCCTGAAGCTCCATCTTCCTCACTTCACTTGATTTTGAGTATGGAAGGTATTCCAAGGCACTCAATTACAATGCAAATCCTAAGAGAAGGCTTAACCTCAGCTAAAGTCCTTCTCATCTGACACCTCTAATACTCAAATAAGGATTAGCAGGAAAGGCACAAAGGACAAAAGGAATTGAAGGAAGAGGAAAAGAGAGAATAAGAAGGAAAGTGGGAAGAGCCACAAGCCTTTAGGCATTCTGAAGTTATATTCCCTTTTCTGCACAAGGGCCAATTTTTCAGGAAAAAAAATTTTTTTAATAAAAAAATATGCAAGTGACCATGAACAATTTTTTATATCCCTGGCACTAAAGGTTACCTTCTTTTGGCTAAAGTTCCCAAAACAATGTAACTAGTAAGCAGTCAGTTAATGATGCAATGTTGCTTCTGAACACACAGTGTGCAGTGAATCTCTGTGATGTTTAGGGAAAAGCTCTGAGAGATTGAGGGTAGGTCAAAGAACAGGCACCAGAGCTCAGCCACAGACTAGAAACAAGAACAAAAATCTGGACTATAACCAAACAAAATACCAGGAGATTCCTAGGTGTTCAGAAAGCAAAAGGAGTTGCTATTCCAAAGGATGAGGAAGGCTGATTATCTCCCACAATCCCAAATGCTACATCTCTGAGAGCTCCCTATCACCCAGGAGCTTGCCAGATGAATGAAAAAAGGACAAAACACAGAAAAAAGTATAACAGCTCTGTAGCAGAAGCAGCCTCCCCAGCCACAGTTAAGCAGCAGTGCTGTTGACAGCAGGAAGAATAATCAGAATTATTCAGCTCAGGAGAGCTTTCTCAATGTGAGTAAGTAAGCAGATTATTTTGCACTGGCTTAACATTTTTAGTTACTTGCTCCTTAAATTAGATCATGGGCCATATGGAGAAACTAGGTAGGCTTATTTGGTCCTGTTGGCTGCTTGAGACTGATCAGGGGAAACTTAACTTCAACTGTAACCAGCTGGTACAAAGGCCTAATGGCACTTGGACCAACATGAAGCCCCCAACTATTGCCCCAAATCTATGGAGCTTCAACAATTTTATTAGCTAAATGCTTCTTCCCAAGTTTACAACTTAACATGTGAGGCTGCTCATTGGCTCCTTCTAAGGCCCTAAGGGGTCAGCAAACTGTAGCACGGGCTTGAAGACTGCAGGGGAAGGATGGTAATAAGTGAGTTAGAACCTGCTGGTGCTCCACCAATTGGACAGCAGGACAGAAAAACCCCTACTTCCTACTGCTGGAAAATGTAGAAAAATGCGAACAGGATGGAAACAGGATCCAGAGTACATCTCTGCCATTGGTCTCAGTTTCCAGTGCCTAACAGAATATATTCTTTATCTTCCTATTTCAGGGGAAAGATGACATTATGTCAGCCTACGCATTTTGCAGAAGTACATAGGCCCAAAATTGGCCATGAGGTTTGGTATTACCAGCTCCCCAACCTGGCAAGATGGGAAAAAAAAGAATGTGTCCATGAAAAGCCTTCGGAAGTGACTCAGGTCTTCCACCTGAACATCAATGCTATATTGATTGGCCAGGAGCTCAATGGCGCCTTGCACCACATACTCGTTCTGCAGGTGTGAGAGTGAGCAGGTGGAGTAGACAATGTGGCCTCCTGGTTTGGTGGCAAGGATTCCAGCCCTGAAATCAGAAAGAGGCAGAAACAGTGACCAACAAGCTTCCCAGCAATAAAAGAGCAACATAAGGAGCTAAACGATGGACCAGGGAAGTACACTTATGGGATGGTGGCTAGGTTAGGCAGGCGCTGAAGTCCCTTCCACAGCACTGTCTAAAAGTCGTTCTTAGGTCAGAGAGCAGCTCAGCCGTACTCCATGAGGTCTCCTCTAGGACGTTTTCTTTCTTT